GCTCTCATGAAGAGAGAGAAAGAGAGAGGAGGAGAGAAATCTTACGTGAGATGGAGAGAGACAAACATCTTATGAGAGAGAGGGAGAGAGAGGAAGATCGAGAGAGAGAGAGAGAGAAAAATAAAATGATAATAAAGAAAGAGAAATACGATCAACTCATTTCACAATATCATTATTCTTGGATGAATGTGTGCTTGAGAATTCACACACGTGACATGAAGTCAATTGTGAATGTCTCTACATTATTTTAATAATTCAACGATCATGAAGCAACCTTTAATCTTGCTGATTTTGTGTTCGAAAATAGAAAAGTACATGTTATTCATGAAACACTGGAAACAAGAATACGTCAAAATTCGATTGTGAAAATCAATAGAAAATAAGTTGTAAATAATCTTAGCTTGATTTCATATGAGTTCAGAAAGATTTAGAATAAAAATAAAGATCATTCATCAAGTTTTGAATTAGTTCTACTCATTTCAATCAATATATGTATGAAACAAAAATAACTTACCGTAAAATATAAAAAAATGACAAAAATAAGTAAATAAATTAAGAAAGTAAGAAATAAGTTGTTGTCTAGTTTAGTTTGACTCTTAGGCAACTAGAGACACTAGTGTGGTAGCTTAGTTTTATCTAGACGTACCACACCATGTCAAAAATTATAGAAGTATTGTCTAAAAGTGCTGCACCACTTGTCAGAGAGATCCACCAAAAGAAGGGTTGACCACATTGTCACCGTCATCTGGGGGGAGAAGGGAAGAACTAACCACTCAAGAGAGGCTTTGAGTGTAGTTGGAAGAGGAAGAAATGAGCTCGTCGATCGCTAGAGGTGTTGATCACACAAAAGGAGGGAGGAATAGATTTGCAACTACTGTCGAGATTTTAAATATAATTGATAATATGTATTTTACCAGATAATGATTGATTATTATTTTTCCCTGATAGTGATATGTGCAAAAACTTAAGTTCTTGGTATTGTGGCACTTTGCGAGCCACTAAATCAGATGTGCTTAGATACGTGGTGTGCTGAGCGACGTAGGATCAACCCCTGCAAATTGGTATCGACCGAAAACTTAAGTCCCTACTACCGTGGCACCTCTTTAGCCATCAGATCATCATTTATGGCCACGTGCGTGTTGAGTTGCGTCGGATTTGTGAACCGCCGATGGATTGTTTCAAGCATCTAGTATCGTGGCGGCTTGCCCACCACAAGATCTAGCTTATCTGATGACGTGGCTCGTTGAAGATCGCTATATGACATTGCACTCTAGATGATTGCCTTGAAACACACAAGAAATTTTAGTCCCACATCAAAAATATTTCGGCAACTGAGTTGAATATAATCTTATGTGATTTCTAAATATTTAGAATAATAGTGTTTATTTGCAACTAAAAATTATTTTTCATAATTTAACACAAATATAAGTCTATTTATTATTAATTAAGGCTAAAACTATATTATTAATTAATTAATAATTCATGATAATGAAGACTTATCAATAGTCATATGATTCACTTAGATATATAGTGAAGATTATTTTGAAACATTCTCTATAGTTGTTAAAATTACTTCAGTAAGGATCTTCTTACTATTAATTATATGATTATCTTGGCATCTACACCAACTAGATATCAAGAATGTATTTCATCATGATGACTTACAAGATCAGATTTATAGGGAACAACTATTTGGTTTTGTTGCTTAAGGAGAGTCTAATTTAGTCTACCACTTATGAAAATCTTTTTATGATATGAAGTGATCTCTATGGGCTTAGTTTAGTTGATTCAATAGTGCTATATTGAATTTTAATATTCAAAGATGTGGAGTTGATCATTCTATTTTTTATAAACATTCTTCTACTAGCTATATTTTGCTAATCATTTATGTTGATGACATTGTTATCACTAGAGATGATCGTGAATGTATTTCTAAACTCAATCAATTCTCATAAGAAAAATTTGCAACTAAAGATCTTGGTAATCTTAAATATTTTATGGAGATCTGGATTGCGTGATCTGAAAAAGAAATTGTAATCAATCAGCAAAAGTATGTTCTCAATCTTCTTGTAAAAATATGTATGTTAATTATAAGACCAAGCACTACTCCCATCGACATTAATTTGAAATTATCCTTTGATGAATGGGAAGTGTTAGAGGATCCAAGGAGAGAAAGACATCTAATTGGTAAAGTGAATTATTTGACCATTACTTGGTCATATATTTCTTTTGCTACTAGTGTGATGAGTCAATGTATGAAATAGGCACACATAAAACAGCTAGATGCAGTTATGTGGATTATAAGATGTCTCAAAAGAATTTCAAACAAAGGATTACTATATAGGAATTTATGTGGATTCTAAGATGTCTCAAAAGAATTTCAAACAAATGATTACTATATAGGAATAATGGCCATCTCATTATCCAAAATTTTTTAGAGCAAATTGGGATGGCTATAGTCTGGATATATGATTTATAACTAACTATTGTATCTTTTTTGATAGCAATCTTGTTTCTTGGAAGAGTAAAAAATAATGTGTCTCATGATTAAATATAGAATTAGAATACAAGACAATGACACATACTACATGTTAGTTTATACAAGTTAGACATCTTAAATAACTAGCTTCTCTCATCTAAGCCTTATGAAGTTGAATTGTGATAATTAAGTAGTGATTCATATTACCTCTAATCTTGTATTCTATAAGATGACAAAATATATTAAAGTTGATTGCCACTTCATTAGAGAGAAAATTCAAGTACAACTCATCACTACTTAGAATGGTAACTCCAATAATCATCTTGTTGATATGTTTACTACATCACTGAATGATCACAAGGTGAAATTTATCTGTAACAAGTTAAGAGCTTATGATATATACACTCCAATTTGAAGAAGACTGTTAGAGTTATGTTATTGTCTAGTATAGGTTTGGTCAGCCCATATAGTAGTTTGGGCTGAAGCAGCCCACTTATGTACATTAGGACCCTAGTATTTATACTAGGGTCTAAAGATTAGGGTTGCGAGTTGTTTCTCTTTCAACGATTGTCAACACCTCCAATACCATATTATTATTACACATGATAACTACAATAATACATTGATGTCTACTTTGATCCATATGACAGAAGAAAAGAGAGATCCACTCGCACCAAAATAAGGACAGAAAGATTTGCATGGTTTGGATGTTACCCTTTTTCTTCACTAGATATATAGAAGATTATGTAATATTGTCACCTCCGAACGTATTCGTCTCTAATTCAGAGGAATACGTAGTGAGACTCACCTATAACATAGAGGACAGTCGACGGCTCGAGCAAGTTAGGCAGTTAGTGGCTCTCAAGTCAGCTAGTAGGACGAGACGGTATCTTCTTTCACGATGAGCACTGTTTCATTTATGTCGTCTTTCGTTCTCAGTGTTTTGCAAATGAGAGAGTCGTGTATTTATCATGGTCTAAGAGACTCTCGGATGTCCCACGGGTAAGCAAAAATGTCCACGCCTAATAAGAGCAGATGACTGTCTGTTTTCGCAAAAATCGGTCCGTGAGAATGGCCTGTTTTTCAAATCGGGACGTCCTCGAACTCTCTGATGAAAGGGATTCATTTTAATATTCTGTGGGCCTGCCGGAGATTCTCGGCCTGGCAGCACGCCCAAAGTCTGCGTAGCTATCACGCGGTCATCTGCTTGATCTAAGCTGCGGGTGGGCATCGAGGAATCGTCACGTTCTCGAGCGTGGGAAGGAGAAGAAACGGTTTGCACGCCGTGGCCGGAGCATCTCTCCTTCAACCCGGGCTCGACGACAAAGAGAGGAAGGAAGGATGGAGAGAGAGAGATGGGGGTGCGGGGTGCACGTTCGCCCTCACGTACCAGGCTCACTACTGTTTGAGGTGGGGGGAGCTTTCCGTCAAATCCACGAGCTACGTCCAGCTTCCGATTGCGCTCTAAATTCGCAAAGGCCACCGTCGGCCCCGGCGGTGGCGTGCCTTCTCTGACCTCTTGTTGCCCCCCCCCCCCGCGGAATCCGTTCGTCTCCCACTCCTCCGATCCTTCGTTGGGGATCCGTCCTTTTTTTTCTAGGGGACGAGGGGACGCAGCGGGTTGCAGCCGCCGGAGGAGGCAATGGCGTTGAGGGCGTGCCCCCCGACGTTCCATGAGAAGCATTTCCACACAAGGAGGCAGGCGGCTTCTCGGAAGTGCGTTCTCCGCCAGTCTACGCTTGCGGGCGGGGCCAGATCTTACCGGGTCCTCATGGCCTCCACCCTTCAGGCCTCCACCAAGTGAGCTTCTCTCCGCCCTTCTCCACTCTTTTCTTTTTGTAAACATTGGGCGCATCTCCGCTCTTTCCTGGTGGTCCTCCAAGTCACCTGGAAGTGCGTCTTTTTCCCGCCGAGAGACCCTTGCTCCCAGGGTTTCCCCATTTATATTTTGGGGTTTCTGTGCCAATCCGTAATCTGGGCATTCCCAGTTTTAATGGGGTGACGGCCGGCACAATTCCTGTTGGTCCCCCTCTAGCCCATTCTTTTCTTTGCGAACAGAACAGGCTAGCCCGTCGATCGCCGCGTGGTCTGATTCCATTTTCTCCAAACTTTTCCGATGGAAGATGCCGGTCGCCCTGTTTCGAATCGACCAGTTCCGCTTATTTTGAGCCCATCAGCCGATCGACCATTTTCTTGTAAATCTCTCACTTCCATCACCGGCGACGCGCATATGGGGGCCCCGAGCTCTGTGTCTGTGAGGAATTGCCCTTGGTGGGCGATGCGAGGATACTTCCCACGCGAATCATGGCGAGCGACGATGGAGAAGTACATATGACGGACGGGATTCAATCATAAATGAACTACAACTGTTGCCACCAATCATCATCTTTTCCTATTAATTTTATCAAAGCCCAGACTAAGACTGCGTTTCTGATGCCTGATTGCCAAAATCAGGGCCGAGGGTGCAAGGACGACGCGGTTCAGCCCCCCTCAAGAGGTGCATGTGCAGGTCACCCACTCCATGCCGCCCCAGAAGATGGAGATATTCAGATCGTTGGAGGGCTGGGCGGAGGACAACATCCTTCCGTACCTCAAGTCCGTAGAGAAGAACTGGCAGCCCCAGGATTTTCTGCCGGAATCCTCCTCCGACGGCTTCCACGAACAGGTGGCGGAGCTGAGGGAGCGGGCCAAGGAGCTCCCGGACGACTATTTCGTCTGCCTGGTGGGGGACATGATAACCGAGGAAGCTCTTCCGACGTATCAGACGATGCTCAACACCCTCGACGGCGTTCGGGATGAGACCGGTGCGAGCCTCACTTCGTGGGCCGTCTGGACGAGGGCGTGGACGGCCGAAGAGAACAGGCACGGCGACCTTCTGAACAAATACCTGTACCTTTCTGGGAGGGTGGACATGCGGCAGGTCGAGAAGACAATTCAATACCTTATTGGCTCTGGAATGGTACGCCTCTCTCTCTCTCTCTCTCTCGCTCACACACAGACACACACCGCGCTTAAATAGGTTCTCAATCAAAATTATCAGCCACTTTCTCCCTAGATATTGAAATGAGATGATGAGGCTGGGAAAGAGCATGGAGGTAATGTCGGCCAGCAGAAGCTATACTCTGTTCTCGACTAACGGGATTCTGAGGGCACATGCATATTGAGGCCCATGCAGTGAACTAGACCGGGGCGGCGGGAGAGAGAGAGAGAGAGACAGAGAGAGAGGGAGAGACAGAGAGAGCTATATCAGGCGTAATAAGATGGTAGAAGTCTAGCTGAAGTGCCCACCTCAAGTGGAGGTTGGGTGGAATTACTTTTACTTTGTCGTAACCAAGATGGAAAATTATATGGTCCCCTCTCACTGCTCTCTTGAAATTGACAGGATGATCCGACCTGTTCATACCCTCATCGTTGTCTCCTTGCCTGCCCTTTCTTGCTTTCTCCTGTCAATTTTATGGCTGATATCCTGCTGCTGCCGCCGTATGTGCGTGCGTGTCTCCTCCCTCCATCATATGCTCTCCAGGATCCTCGCACGGAGAATAGCCCCTACCTGGGGTTCATCTACACCTCTTTCCAGGAGCGAGCGACCTTCATTTCCCACGGTAACACCGCGAGGCTGGCCAAGGAGCGCGGAGACCTGAAGCTGGCGCAGATATGCGGCACCATCGCGGCGGACGAGAAACGCCATGAGACCGCGTACGCGAAGATAGTGGAGAAGCTATTCGAGGTGGACCCCGACGGCACGGTGCTCGCATTTGCGGACATGATGAAGAAGAAGGTCGCCATGCCCGCGCATCTGATGTACGATGGGCGCGACGACGACCTGTTTGAGCACTTCTCGGCGGTCGCCCAGCGGCTGGGGGTCTACACGGCCAAGGAGTATGCGGACATCCTCGAGTTCCTGGTGGGGAGGTGGAAAGTGGAGAACCTGACGTCCATCCTCTCCGGGGAGGGGAGGAAGGCTCGCGACTTCGTCTGCAGCCTCGCTCCGAGGATAAGGAGGCTCGAGGAGAGGTCCCAGACCAGGATCAAGCAGGGACCGGCCGTACCCTTCAGTTGGATCTACGACCGTAAGGTTCAGCTCTGAGTGCTTTGACGAAAGCCTCTGTGTCATCGTTTCCTCGCTCTTCTTTTCTCTAGCTAGAGGATTCACTTGTGGTTGTTTGGCTCGCTTGGCCATGGAAAGATGGGACTGAATGGCGGAGGTCTGTCTGTAGATACCGGGGGCTCTGTTGAAGAAAGGCCTCGGCGCAGGGGGGTGGGGTCCTCTACGGCAAGAGTGAACGGGCTAGTGCAGTGCCCGCCTCCCTAGCATACACAGCAGCTACCGTGTTGCATTCGGTGCTCCCACCGTCACCGTAAGTGATGAATATGTGAACTGCTTGAAGCCACCCCGGTTATTTTTTGTGGTGCAAGCTGTCTTGTCGATGACTACATTGCCCCCCAAGAAGAAAGCATCCCATGTTAGCGTTCACCGACATTTTGGCTCTCATTCTGACTATATAAAAGAGGCGGGAGGGGCCATTAATCCCCCATCTTCCGCGGCAATGAACCCTGTTGTCGGTCAAGGCCTCGTGGAGGGTTGTTAAATAGGAACTGACGCCTTCGATTATTGAATGAGGGCTTCGGGCGGTCGGCCTCCCGTCTGTCCGATGGGATCGGCCCCACTCTGACGTTCGCGGAGAGTAGAAATCCAGATGGGGTGAGGAAGGCACCGCGGCCGCAAGTAAGAGAGAGAGAGAGAGAGATGCAGATGAGCCGGCGTCTCACGTGGTCGGGGACAGACCTCCCACTACCTTCTACCTCTGGGGGGCCTTATGATGATGACGATGATCATGTCACGCCCTCCACTGCGAGGTTGTAGTTCCAATCTCTCTCTCTCTCTCTCTCATCACCATGAAGAAGGGAGCGGAAGGGACTTGAAGGCTACTTCTTTTTTCCATGAATAAGTATCGGACGCGAGATTCTCCGTTGCATTCAATGGCGAGGCCACCGTGTCTCCTCACGCTTTCATATCGGGTTCAATGAGAGGACCCGGCGAGAAGTGGACCCCTCTCCATGAAGCGGTGCCCTCCCCTCCCAGAGCCCGTCGATTATATATGTCCCCGAACCCGTGGCAGGGCGCCCTTGATTATATACGTCCGAACAGAGAGAGGAAAGAAAGAGAGAGCGACCTAGAGATATACAGAGAGAGAGAGAGAGAGAGACAGAGAGAGACAGAGAGACACAACCCATGGGAAGAAGAGCCTTAAAGATGTATACGTTAGAAGCCGGAGGGAAGAAAAAGAAAGGGCAGGCCTTACTCCACGCGAAATAAGATAAATGGAACACCACCCGGCCGCCTAGCTGGCCACCTTAGTTCTTCTTCCTCTGCCTCTCTCAACCCCTGAGGCACGCGGGGATATAAAATCCAGTTCAACTCAGACGGGGGCCGCCACGGCGATTCGGAACTTTCTTTTCTCTGGCGCGACGGCGAGGAGAGAACAGTAGACGGGCCGGGCGCCACTAGCGAAGACTTCAGGTCCTCGTCCTCCCCTCCTTCCGCCCTCCTTCATCGATCGATCCTCGGCGGCCCAGAGAAGCATCCGATTCCCATTCCATTGTGATGGTGTCGCCCTCCCGCTTTGGAGTGGCTTGCTGCTCCTATCTGCCCGTCGATTCCCCCCCAAAATAGTGAATCGATCGGTCGGATATAGAGCCAGCCAGGGTTCATTCATAGTGCTCACCTAGGCCGGCGACCTTTCCCCATCTCCCCAGAAATGAGGGACTTGGCTGCCTGCTACAGCGATCACGCTGTCAAAGTTTCTGATTCCTCCTGCTCTGGAAGCGGCAGCGCCGCCTTCGGCGGCGACCCGTCGACCCGCAGCGCTGTCACCACCAGTCTCTACAAGACCAAGTTGTCGACTGGGAAGGTGCTCCTGATCCGGGTGACGTGGACTAAGAGCCTCCTCGGACAGGGCCTCTCCGTGGGCGTCGAGGAACGGTCTACTAACTCTGTTCAGCCGCAGAACCGAAAGAAGGCCGCCGCCGCTGCAAGTTCGCTGTTCCTGAGGAGGAAGAAGGGTAGCCAGTCGTGGCTCTGCGGGGACTCGGAGGTCGCGCTCTACTGGGACGTCTCCTCGGCCAAGTACGCCTCCGGGCCGGAGCCAGTCGAGGGCTTCTATCTGGTCGTGATAGTGGACTCAGATCTGGTCGTCGTGCTCGGCGATCGGAGCAGAGAACAGAGAAGCCGGCTAGAGGCGAGGCCCGTCCCGGTCGTGGGTGGCGCGTCAACCACGGTAATAAGTCGGAGGGAGCAGGTGGTGATGGGGAGCAGCAGCCAGTACTCGACCAAGGCGCGGTTCGGCGAGGGAGGGAGAGACCATGAGATCCTGATCCGGTGCAGGGCGGAGGGCGGGCCCAAGGAGTCGGAGCTGAGCGTATACATGGACAGGAAGCGGGTGGCGCTGGTGAGGAGGCTCAAGTGGAACTTCCGAGGGAACCAGACCATCTTCGTGGACGGGATCCCGGTGGACCTGATGTGGGATGTCCACGACTGGTGGTTCGGAGGCGCGTCGGGCCGGGCGGCGTTCATGTTCCGGACGAGGAGCGCGCCGGAGACCCGGCTGTGGCTCGAGGAGGAGACTCTGCAAGGGGACCAGGGTTTCGCCCTCTTGATCCACGCTTTCAGGGCCCCCTCATGATGATCTCGAGATCGCTCGATGTATATTTGGATCTCTCGATATCTCGACTTTTTTTCGCCCCCCTCCCCCCGCGGCAGCGAGCTCTGGCTCGAGAGGGGGTCGCCCCTTCGATGTCGGCTGGTTCTTTTCTCTTTTCAGAGCTCGCGCGCGTCGACTGTGTTCACTAATCAGTCCGGCAGATTCCGTGCGGAATAACGGAGGGAAATTTTGTCTCCCCCCCCCCCGAATCGTGCATCAGTTTGCTCGTCCAGGTCTTTGCGTCCCCTGTGGGGAATCATCGTTCACCCCCGCCGCCGTTTTCTCTCACGGTAGATAGAATCTGGATATATATAGATATGTAGACAGATGGACGGAGAGGGAGAGAGGGAGAGAGACAGAGAGAAGCCGTCCTACTCTTTCTCTCTCTTGTCCAGGTTATAATCGGCACTTCGCCTTCAGTAGGCTCTGAAAGGGATTCATCTTCGCTTAAATTTACTTTGGAAGCGCCGACAGGCATTGTATTGTAGCTCGGAGTAGACGTCTGGTGGAGCAATTCTGTGGATGAAATCTGGGAGGAGGCCATGGGTAGTCCCCGAGGCGATGATGACAGTCGTGACGGGTTGGCGACGGCAAGCCATCGCTGACTTCCTTTTTCCGGAGGCATCTTCTGTCACACCAGCTGGCGCCGACAGGAGGGCACGACGAGCTCAGATGCTTGCCATCCGACCGGTCGAGCAGACGTCTCGTTGCGATGGCGAAAATGGCCTGAATCCCTCCCGCCGCTCCGCCTCCTCGTCAGCGTGAACCGGCAAGGCTGCGCCAGTTGACGTCTTCTTTATCCAAACACCGATCGAGTCCCTCCCTGCGCAGACTGGATAGGCTCCCCGTCTTGACACAGGGACAGAGAGAAAGAAAGGGACGGGGAAGGGAGAAGGTGAGCGGGAGTCTCCGTTTACTTTTATGGGCTTTGACGGCATGCATGACATATGGGTGCACGGGATCACGCTAGTAGCACAAGGGACAGAAGGTGGCATCAACAGGTTCGTTCAAACAGTTGGGAGTCACTTCGCCGATCCGAGCGGAGCTGAGCACGCCGCGCGGTTTTCAGAGCTGGGTCCCCCGCACGGGCGGCTCCGCCACTGTCTGGCGGTCGTCCTCGAGCGAGCGGGCCCGCCCCCCGCTGCCGAGGAAGCAGCGGTGGGGGCGTAGCTCGAAGGGTGGCGGCGGGGGCGGGTGCCCGCCGGCTCGCACGGGCGCGCTGTACAGCGGCAGCATCAGGCGGCGCCTCTCCGGCGAGTCGCGCAGGGAGAAGCGGCAGACGGGGCAGGTCGAGTGGTGCTGCAGCCACAAGTCAATGCAGGAGACGTGGAAGGCGTGCCCGCAGTGCGGCAGCACTCGCAGGACGTCCTTCTCCTTGTACTCCGAGAGGCACACCGTGCACCTGCAAGGATTGCAACAAAGAAACAGAGCAATGGGCATGCTGAGGGACGGGAGAAGAGACCAGGCCAGCCAAGAACAGAAGAAGACTAGAAGAGCGATCTACGCGGCATGCAGGTGCACGGGTGGGTTTATCTAGGTCAACAGTTTATGATGGGCGTTCACCGAATTCTCGAAGAGAAAGAGAAGAGCACGACAATGTGGTGAGGTCATCGCCATCGCAGGCATTTTCTGAGCTACTAAGAAGAACAAGTACAAAGGCAAGCGCAAGAAAAAGTGCAATAGGGAGAGACGCAAACCGAAGGAGAGATTATTCAATCAGATTAATCGGATCATCGCACCACCAAGTTTCTAGAGGGCCACCCTTACTTACCGGAGAAGAACAGAGCACGCCCGACCTTTCTAGCAAGCAGGCACGCGACTCCTGGTGGGTCTTGACATCTCATGGCGAAGCTAGCGCTTTCCAAGGAAGCGCGGATCAGTGGGTAATGGCTTGCTCTTCTGATAATCACGGGCGGGGTGTGCAAGAACGACCATGATTATCACGCCCGAGTGTTTCAATGGACACCTCATAAAATCTATCCCAGGCGAAACCGACGGCACTTCGGAAAGCAACCAAGCTCTTGATTTCGCTTCTTAGGAATACCATATGCATGAAAATTCTAGGAGATGAATGGGTGTAACCTACGATTTCTATGTAATATCGTCCATGCAGTTCTCGCGCTTATCATGTCCAAGAGGTAGGATGAAAGCAGGTACAAAACCAGTAAAATTATACAATCCCCGGCGTGATACTCAACTACTAACTAGCCCAAGATCCAGGGGCTCAGAGTACGTGAGCTGGGGCCCTCCCTCATCTGGAGAATAGGTGGTCTAAATTGTCCATGTTCCCGCTCATCAATGCCACCAACGCTAGTTACAATTTCTCATCGCACACTGTCCATGCAGTCAGGAGAATCTAAATGCCCTAGAAGGCTTGGTTGATACGCCGCACTCCAAGAGAACAAATATGCCTACTGTGCGCAGAGAGGGTGTCCAATGTAAGAACAGGAGCAGGAGGCTATTTAGCTTAAGAAGGAAGCTATCAACACCAAACTCTTGAATTCCACAAGCGTGGACGAAGTAACCCGACCTCAGAGGGGCCATGCCATCTTATGGAAAGAGACACCAGTCCCCGGTTGTAGCATAGCCTGAATAAATGGGACTTGAGGCCCTATGATTCACACACATTTTCTTGTCGTCAAAAAATAAGCTCAGGCTCCTGAGTCCCCGCCTGCATGGAGAGGAGGGCGGACCTTTCTAGCTTGGACAAGCAACTTCACACCCTGAGAGGAACAGAAATCAAACATCCATCTTCCACCAGCAGGTGCCGGGCCAGAGTGATGTGGTGGACGGCCTACAACAAAGGAAGTTGCGGGCCAAAACCAAGTTCACACTAGATTAGATTGCCATCTAGCCTTGCTTTCTCTCTCTGATCCTTATCTTCTCTTTCAACCAGCCTTGGCCTGTTGAAAAAAGGCTAATCCTCAGCTTTCAGCTGGGTAACCTTTGGACTTTACACGATTATCCGTTCCGTTGATATCCAGCTCTTCAATTCAGGGAGAAATTGAACCCATTCTAATAATCTTACCCACTTTTCCTTGGCCTCACACCTCTCCTAATAATCTTATCCCCACTAAAATGCTCCTCTCTGGGCTGATAATGCTACTGGTCGACGTATAAATATCGTAAGCATTGTATAAATTATCCTATCGTCCTAGATTCCTAGACATTATACAAAGAGTTCTATCGATTCATATACTGTTATTTTCCTCTTTATCCCGTGCCCGAAATTTTCCCAGGGTCCATCCAAACACCCTCATCTCAGCCGTATGAAATTCCTTACGAGTTTTTCTGCCTAACACCCTGCACCATACAGGCTGGATCACCTTATAGCCGCAGTATTCTTTTCCTTCCACCCAGGTCAAGACATGGCAGCGAGTTCTGAATTTTTCCCATACTTTTTCCTATTCCTTGAGATTCAATTGACCTCGGATTCAAAATAGTTCCCCCAGCTCCCTGATCCTCAAGACTCCAGAAAGCCATTCAAAGAAAGAAAATCATTGAAGTCATGCATATACTGGTTTAATCAGATCATTCCGATGAAATCCAGCCGCCAAACATCGACCACACCCATTTTCCCCTGGCAGGAACTCTTCTTACACAGAAATAGATGGGGATGTGAGATGCTACCCATTGTTTCTGATCCAACAGATTCGCGAACAAGCAGGGTGGATTTTGAAGATGAAATTTTTAGCATGCATGAGAAAGATCAGACGATACTGGTAGAGGGCACATATAGCATTTATCAACTCCAGAAAGCCTCAGAGAAAGAGAAGGAAGGAAAGATGGATGTGTTCAACGACCAAACCAATTAAAGTCAGAATGCGGGTGTACTTACTGAGTATCCTCCTCCAAGAGCAGAATCTTATCCCCGTAGTTCTTAGTCGGAAAATTTTCCACCACGACAGGCTCCAGGCCGTGGAGGCCCCGTTCCAGCTGTTTCGAGGAGGAAGTCAACAATCAACTATGGTGGATAGTCAGGAAATCGCGACTCTTAAGAGGGAGGGCTGCCATCATGCCAAGGTAGGCCGATTCGCGCCGATCCGAGCCAAAGATTCTCCAAGCATGGAAAATGAAAATGAGGAAATCTCACAAACCATCGAGGGAGGCACCGACCAGCGAGCACTTATCCGAGGAGGCAGCATTCTTATCTAGTCCAGAATTAAGGGGTATGACCATCTGGGGGATCTCCAGAGAGGAAAAGCGGCTGTGAGGACAGCAAGAAGGAATCAATGGGAAGAGAAGAGCAAAAGACGGAGGGGCCCCGGCGCAAGGAGAGTTAATTTCACTCTAACGTGTTGGAAACACCTTTCTTTCGCCCCTTTTGAGATGCTGTCGCAGTTCGGACAGGACCCCTCCACGGGCAAAAGGCGTTGGGTAGTAATGCCGTATTTGGCGGATGTGAGGCTCATCCGCAGCAAATCTAGCAAGTCGCTGCTGACGGATGCTTACGTTCGGACAACGGGGTACCGAATTGGGAGCCTAGGTAGATGAGGAACGGAGATGATCGGAATCGGCCGGCGCGACGGGAATCACCAACAGTCGTATCCGGCTTGCCATAGAGGGGGGGCAGGAGAAGAGGCTCCACAGTCACTGCCGCCGCAAGACCGGAACTATACAAGAGAAGATGGAAGCTTAACGGCGAGGGAGGGAAGAGCGGGGGCCGTACAGTGCTCATGTCGGATCTGGACGCCGCGGGGATGGACCTCCTGGAGGCAGAGAGCTGGATGCGAGCGCAGATGAGCCGGGTGCAGACAAACACGATGAACATGGTGCTCACCGCGAAGCCGACCACCGTCGTCACCAGATTGACCCCCGACGCGATCATCACTTCTCCCACCCTACTACGCCTAACTGGTGCAAATCAAGAGAAGCAGAGGACAATTCCCGGAGACAAAAGAGGGGGAGAAGAAGCAATCGAGAGAATCATCTACTACCACCACCAGGCGCCGCCCAGGATTCCCCTAACAGACCAGACACTCCGCCACACAGCTCATTCCCGAGCCCCCCATCTCCTTCCACTCGCATGCCCCGGCCCCTCTCTCCTCCACCACCGAGAAAAAAACCCGGCAAAGACCCCGAAAGCGTGGGTGCAGAGAGCAGAAGAAAGGGAGTAGTAGTGTGGGTAGAAGGCGCCGCCTCCCCTGGGGCTGAGTTTAGTGTTTCTCTGTCCGAGTCTCTCGCTCTCTATGTGTGTCCCCCCACTTCCCTCCTCACCCCCGCCCAGTTTCACTCCCCTGCCCTGTCCCTCCCCACCCCTTGCGGAGGCTTCCCCGTCGGTCTTCACTAGCTCACTCCCGCACTCCACCGGGGATGCCGCTAATAAACTAGAAAGAAAAGAATAAAGAAATCGGGAGCTATTTTTACCCTAAAATTGAAGATGCCGCAGCCGTCTGTGTCCGTATCGCTGATCATCCTCCCCGTCCGAGAGGGTGGAAAATAGGGACCAACAGTCGGACCAACGGCGACGTCTCTGAATCGTCACATGGCGGTAGGCCGCCTCCGCCGCCCTTACCACGGTATTCTTCTTCCTGCTCCCGTTGACTTTGGCCATCCCGGCCGTCTGCGGATAATGAACGGTCCGCCACCTACTACAATCGGGTACGCGACCCTTGATTTTTATTTCCTAGGGCCGTGCGAAGAAGAAGCATTATTATTCATCTCATTCGCAGCAAAATGGGGCTAAACGTCATCAGCTCAACGCCGACACTGATGGAGACAGGGAGAGAGAGAGAGAGAGAGAGAGAGTCGATGAGCCGAAGGCATATGGTGGCGGCGGGCAGCTGGGTCGACACGAAAATCAAGCGGTGGAAGGAGCCTCGGCGCCGTCGTGGAGGGCGCAACAGACGGTGGGCTTCTGGCCTTGGTACACTCGAATGGCCTCCCCGGTCGACACGCTCCACAGCCTCGCCGTCGCGTCCGAGGATGCTGAATTTTATTTTTTTGGTTTTTTCAGGAATCAAGATGCGCATATAACACAGTGAGTGAGGAGCTGCCGATGATATGTGAAAGCCCGGCCATCGCACCTGTTATCAGATAGGCACCGTCGACGGAGAAGATGCAGTCCCACACCCAGCGCTGATGCCCTGAGTGCGAAGCACATAGATAAAGAACCAGCCCTCTCTCTCTCTCTCTCTCTCTCGCTTGATGAGGGATCCGAGGACTTACCCACGAGGGTTCTCTCCAAGGTGAAGCCGTCGACGTTCCATATCTTGACGGTGTGGTCGGAGGACGCCGTGGCCAGGTACCTGGGGGGGACAACACGGAGGGAGGAGCATCAAGTCCAGCCAGAGCGCGGGAGCAAGGGAGGAATGGGGCACTCCCACAGACAGGAAGGAGAGGGAGGGAGGGAGGGAGATGTGGGCGAGGAACTGTGCTGTTCCTCAAGCAGGTCAACGCTGAATAATTGATGGTTTTGACCTGTGGGGGTCGCAGAACTCCGGCGAGAGCAGGCATTTGAGGATGTACCCGTCGTGCGCCTGCAGCTTGTGGAGGGGCTCGAAGTAGGTCATCGCCTGCGAACAGCGGGCTGTCACAAACGCTTCCATCGCTAACAATGTCCGCTAGATCCACGCCGCAAAATGTGAAACTTTTCTCGTTACCTGGGCTCCTCGCCGCAGCCTCCAGACGTAGCAAGTGCCGCGATTATTCGCGGCGACCACCAGGCTGCCGTCCCACATGACGGAGAGCGATCTCACGGCGGTGTCGACCTCCGGCACCTGCGTTTAAGTCCGTCCATAAGGATGAAATGTCGCGGCTACAGTGTCCCAGAAGCTACCGATTCAGACAGAAGGAGATGACTGACGAGTCATTCATTAAATAGAATGGAGAGAGGGGGAGAGAGAGAGAGAGAGAGAGAGCTAGAGGCACTGACCAACTCGCAGCTGCACGAATTGGCGGTCAGGTCCCACACCCGTATGTTCCCGTTCTGATCGCCAGATATGAGCTCTGTCTGCGAAAGACGCCACACCATGAAAATCTGGCGCTGCCCAGGCGGCAGGTTTTTGCCTCCACAGCGAACACCACGACTCGCAGGCGTCGCAAGAAAGGAGGAACCGGCGGGAACCAAAGGCTGACCTGGTTCGGATGTAAGACGACGGTGTTGACCGCTGCACGGCTTTCGTACTCTCTCTGACAGCCCGGAGCCCTGGGGCGAAGCCAAATGGAGCAGAAAAATGAAAGCCACACGAGATTCAAATTAAATACAGTAGCGCGCACGCGTTTCGTCATCGTGAGGGTATCACTCGTCTGAGCGCCCCCAAGTTTTTTTCTCATTCGGTAACATGTCCAGGGAGGGGAAAAAACAAAAGGTTTTCGATACTATAATGTTTGCCAGCAAAGCTCAGAAAATGACGTCCGGAAGCAGCGGATGTTCACAAAACGCAACGTCCTTGTCAGGATTGACGAAGGCTCGCCGCCTGGTAGGAATTGGGTCGACACCTAAGGGTGGGGGGGGGGGGTCGGGATCAGTCGAGTTTACCGGGGATGACCAAAGAGGAGAGAACCCGTGATGAAAGAAAGATAGGAGCTTGATTCACGTACAGAAAAATGGTCTCGGGGAAATCAGTTTCTGAGAAACATTTTGGGTAAGTTAGCGTCCTTTGGCGCTGCTCTAAGGCACGTATTTTGGGAGGAGAAGTGTCCAAGAGAGGCAGGCGACCGTCGTACCTCAGGTCCCAGATCTTGATGGTGCCATCTTCAGAACCGGAGTACATCCAATTCCCGTCGCATTGGAATCCCACTGCCATCACATTGCCGGCGTGGGATTCATAGGTTATCACCTTCCAGCAGAGGAGGATATGGAATTGTTCAGATCTGGGGAACGAAAGAGGGAAAACGGATGGGAACCTCACATTCGGCGGAAGCTTACCGGTTCGGCTCTGTTGGAGTTGACTTCAAAGAGCTTGATGTGAGGATTCCCAGCGGCCGCTAAGTACTGCTTGTCGGGGGTTATCTCGAGCCTGTTAACTTGCTGCACGTGTGGTTTGGTTGATCATGTTAGGAGGAATTATTCCGATGGTGGTAGAGCATACTGGAGATAGAGCCCGATTAGCGGAACACGCCATCCCCAGTCAAAGAATGTCGAACAGAGGAATGGCACAAACGCCAGAGCAAGGATTGACAATTTAAGAAAGAAGAACTCACAGAATCCGGGTACTGGAGAGTGCGATAGCAGCGCCCACTTTTTGCCTCCCAAAACCTAATCATGTGATCATATGCTGCTGTTGCTAGAATCACCGAAGGTTGGCCGCTCATGTCGACGACGCTTTGCTGTAATGTAGGGACGACCCATGGAAAATAAGACTAAGACTAGAAACATTGGAGAGAGACAGAGAGACATCTAGGCCATCCAATAAGACATAAATCAACCAGTCATCGAGACCAATGTATAGGCAGCAATCAACTCTACCCTTTTATGTCACTTGGCAGCCGAAATGGACAGGGGAAATTTTGAGTTTTAAAGCATTCACAATGGCTGAGTTTATGGACTTCACTTGGCCTATAATGATTGAGAACAGACATAACACAACAACTGGGAAATGAAGCAATCCAAAATGTGAAATTGTGACAATGATCCTTATGTATCTCCATGTCAAGCCAATGCACTAAAATGGGCGGCTGTTGGCACACTGTAATCTGACAGAATAATAAGGTCTCGCCTTCCACGAAACCAGAAAACATAGCTGAACCATATCAATAATTACATAAGGTATTAAGGTATCAAACTTTCCACTAAAGTTTATTGACTAGTCGTTTTAGTCATCCATTAGCATAACAAACTTCTAATTGAAGGAAGCCTATAACTAATGGAGACAGACAATAAGAATCCATGCCAAAGCAATCCAAAATCACAGAAACCACCGCAGCTCTGTCATTGGGCAGATTATGGCCCCTTCTGCGCCTCTGTGAAATGGTGATGAATGTCTAAAGCACAGCTAATGACTAACCACCAACCTATTCCTGGCAAGGTACAGGCCACATCGACCAAGCTTCGATGTTGAAATTGCTAAGTTGACTGGAACACACATGATGACAGATTTACCAACCTATTCCTCATTCCATTGTGCCATGAAACAAAGAAACGACAAAGAACAACGATTTTCAGGCGGTTCCCTAATCGAAGAAAGGAGGAAACATCTGAAATCTGAGTCGATCCATCCTAAAAATCATCTGACACCTGCCAACCGGTTGTCACTGGTGATAGAGACTGCACCAGGTCATTCCACTCCATCATGTATCATCTACGTACTTCGCGTGCAGAGCTTCAAATTCCTTTTTTCACATTCGAGCAATTATTCATATCACAACGTGAAATCGTCTGAGTTCAAGCTGTGTTACCCGCATGGGCCTACTTCTGGTTCCCACATCGAAAGGACCCTTGGGAAAGGAGCTCAATGAGAATAAACACAATGACTGAAGGCGCCTATTGCACAGGGGATCATGGCTACACGATGAGAAAAACTGGAAGCCTCCCCATGCCCATAAACATCAATACCAAGATCGGCATGCGTAATGTCTCCCCTCCTGAATCCTGTAGAAAGATCAGGAATGCGGTCTGACAAAGGAAATGCCGTCTGTGCTTAAATGCTGGGAAAAAGAAACCATTCTTAATCAACTTTTTAAAAGGCTTAATCTGTAGTCTCATATTCACTTGACGTCACCCAATGTGAGAGATCCCTTCTCACTGTCAGGACCTTACGCAGTCTTCATCTCCACTGGTGTTCCCAGGGGAAACTTGAACCAATTTGTTTGGGTTACTGCTGCCAAACAATATTGACAGTTCTGTTCTGTTCTGTTCTGGGGAGAAAATGGGCAGAAACTTCATCCTGTTCTGTTTTCCGGCCCTCCTCTGGCAAAGTGTCTAGACGAGGCTTCAGTAGAAGCGTGGTATGCCAATGACTTCAAAGCAACAGCACTACGGCCAGGTGTGGCCTAAGTCAATGCATAATGAACGTCTCAGGTCAACGAATGTCTATTTAAGATAATCCGATACAACGGTGCTTTCAAATGCAGACACCGAGGATCGCATAGGTTGCTGCTGGGTCTCGGACAGAATGGGGATATAAAATCCCCTTCTCTTCTTTCAGAGGGCACCGAGGATTTTTATTTTTGTTTGTTGAGATTCTTGTATCATCTCTAAAGTGGTCGTGAAAATTCTGAGTTACCGTTCCGACAAGAGAACCTAAAAAAGCTCTCAACCCAAACTGTCTGATCCGACCAGGTACGCGGCCTCGCATCTATTCCTCCGAACATTGATCATCCCATCCTCCGAGGACCGTCCCGGGCGTCTCTGCCCAGGCCATTATTTTCCAGAATGTAAGAACGAAAAGCCGGCATACGAAGCCGCGGACAAGGAAAAGAGAGAGAGAAGCATATGATGGGTAAGACTCACCCGTTTTCCCTCGCCTCTCTTGTGGTCGGCCTACCTAAAATTTCATCCCTTTGTCGCATACGCCCTACATGAGCACAAACGGATAATATCTCGTTCAGGTCGGTAGATTCCAGAAAGGGCAGATATACGAGGAGATTGGATGCTAGGGAAGATCTGTGGTGGGTGGGGGTATAGGCGAGGGTGAGAGAGAGAGAGAGAGAGATAGAGAGACGAGGGCGGGGCGGAAGTTGGAGACCATTGGGTTGACGCAGCGGGGGGTGCCTCTTCGCGGATGGCTTGACGACGGATCTCGCCTCACGGCGTCGGAGCGCTCGCCCCTGCCGCGGGAGGATGGGGGATCATGGACTACCAAATTTTCGGCGACGGTCAGGGGTGAGGGCATACGGGTGCAATCTTTATGCCCTAACGGTCTTCTTTTTATCTGAAGATCAATTACCTCTTGCTCATACCCGTTCGTCGCCTCATACGCCGCTGGAATTGTGAATAATATTTTTCCATGATGACCTCCTGTCTGCACAAATTATGCAACAAGATCTTAATATTTCGTTTCCCAACTTGCTCTCACTGTTACAGAATGTGGTGCCATCACTTTACCAATAATCTTATTTCTTTGAAGAAACCAGTTGCTCTTAATATTACAACCAAAAATGCGAGTAAAAATGCTTGCTTTATCGACGGATAGTTTCCGATAGCTGATTATTTTCCGAAGAGTCGTCACGGGTGTATTGGGAAGGCATATTTCTCCTCCTTTCTTTTAGGTCGGGGTTGGGGAGGAGGGATGATGGATGCCCTCTCAACCCTCTTCTGTACATGAAACGACGGCAACTCGTCGAATGACGACTCCTCAAGCGTTTTAGTAGAGCATCCGGCGTTTCGTTTCGAGGCAATCGGGACATGTTGAAGAATGCGCTCGGTGCAAAATTAGGCTCCATGGGTAGAAACCTACGCTGCGCCTAGTTTCACAAACGTCCTACTTTTGTCATCGCTTGAAGCGGGTCATGAAGTGGGTCGTCGACGTCATGAAGCGTTGTTGTCAATGTCAACTGCATGAAAACAACTTCGCAATGCATGATTGATTTGAAATTGCCGATATGTATATATATATATATATATATATATATATATATCGAAACAAGAGGATCTTAAATGTGTTGGTGGTATGAGCCAAATTAATCTTGAGCGGCACATCCAGAAACGTACAATTCCTTCCATTTCTCTCCCTTGCGCTTACCGAAAAGAATGAACATCTCTAGTAATATAGAGCTCAGTAACCGCCATTCGAACCGGTTTTAATAATGCTTCTAGATCAATCTTCAGTAAGATACCCTTGAGCAAACAAAAAAAAAGAACAAAAAAAAAAGGTACCCTTCTGAGCACGAACATATCTCGGGTCATAATCATTCTCCTTGCCTACGCTGTGTCACTCATTGGATTTATTTCTGGGCCTACGTGTTGGAGAAACCTTTTCAAGTATTGGGCCCGACATAATAACATATTATGGATGTATTGCACACTGGATCTGCTTTGATCATAGGTTCGGATCTAGGCAACGAGTGAACTAGCAGAAGTTAAATGGTTCGTGGACCTTACCGTGTAGATCGGATCCGGAGCCTAACAGCTAGGGGAGTATCCAATGGATCGTCTGCATCACGAACAAGCAAAGTCAGGTTGCGCAAGTGAACAAGAGGACGAATTTGTCTGTTAAACGGTGAGAATCCGACACGAAGATTAAACTTCAAGTTAGACGGGCAAATGGGCAATCGGATCTACCAGTTATGCTGCTGAATGTCCATGACTGACATGAAATCAGTGAATATCCATCCGTTATGAGAGAGCTTCTTCTGCCACAATAAGCCTGACAGCATGTATAGAGGCTGCAGGAGAACAAAAAGACGTAGAGAGAAGAAAGAGAGCGACCATAAAAAACTAAAACGAAAAATCTCAATCTCTAGGAGGATCAATCCAGCTCTAGGATTACTAGAGAAGAGTACAACTCCCAAGCTCAAAGGAATCTGCAGGCCTTAATGACCAAAACTTACACACCAATCCATTCAGAAAAAAGAAGATATCAATAAGCGTGTAGAAGGTCAGCAATACTTTAGATTTATTGCGAGTCTATTGTTAGCCTCTTTAAAGTCTGAAAGTTAAAAAGGAAGTGAAGAGTTTCTCTTATTTAGGCTTCCTAGATTTAATCGAGATGAAGTTTTGCTCAACAAAAGATCAATCTATTGATGGATTTGCAAAGTCTTTAAGCTACCCAATTTTCCTCATGTTTCATGAATTATATGACATCCCCAACTTTACATCTAGGACAAATGTTAAAACTTGATGGCTTGCTTGAGAAAATGGCAATAGTCGAAAGTTGATTTTTGGTGAAAGTGGGCTGACCCACTTGAGCTCTAGATTTTTTATTTTTTATTAACTGTTTTTATACCCCTTTCTGTCTCTTCCGCTATCCCCTATATAAAGACACTATTATTTGTTTAATCAACTCGGTAAAGTATTTTCTCTCCTCAATTTAGGGCTCACAAGTAGCCACCATGATCCTCCTCTCTTCCTCTTCTCCTCAACTCATTCTCTATAATTTTTGGTACAACTTAATCATCAATCTAGGGTCTGATTCCTGCGAATACAAAACAAAATATAGCACTTGACAATGTTGTAGGAGTTCCAGCTATAGGACCAATATTATTTCCAAAAGCAGGATGTGCACTAGACAACAAAAGGAGTTTAGGTGTACTTTGTAGGGAGGAGGAGATCTTGTGAACTAGTAGGAGTGTTCAGCTCCTTGATAATCACTTAGACTTTTTCTAAAAAGACATGGCCCAATAAATAGATCTAATCCACTAGTTAGCATGGCATC